TGTTGTTTGTTTGTTTGTTTGTTTTGAGACAGGGTCTTGCAGTATAGTTCTGCTTAGCTTTGAACTGACTATGTAGCCCAGGCTGGCCTCAACTCTGAGGAATCTCATCTAAGGAATTTTGTTGTTGTTGTTTTGTTTTTAACTTTGTGTTTACAGAAAAATGTAAATTCATTGTAGATGATTTAGAAAATGTAAAAAGCATAAAGTAGAAAAGCAATATCATGAAGAATTCTGCCAACATAAGTGAGGTCTTGTGTGCAATATTCTGTCCCATTTTCTTTCTAGTTTATCCCATGTAATTTTTCTGTTACATTAAAATCTTCCTGTTGGTGACATCGTTTTTTTTGGTGCCGAAACCTGGGGTTTGAAGACATCATTTATTTACTCATTCCTCCTAAGGTGCTTTTTCTTACTATTGTAAATACTCCTATAATGGGTATCATGTGTATGAAACATAGGTTGGGTTTTTATTATGCCTTGAGACACAAATTCATGTGTCAGAGCAGAAATGAACATATTCAGTGCTGTGTGTGTGTCTAACTAGATAACCTTCCAGCAAAGCTGCATGAGTTGTGCTTGTGCCAGCAGCTTCTAAGCATGTTCACATGACAGCCTCTTAGGTATTGAACCTCAGTATTGTTTATCATCTTTGCTGCTCTGAGCTGGCATTAGTAGACTTCTGTAGTCCTGACTACTCAGGAGGATCACTTGAGCCCAAGAGTTGGAGGCCAGTGTGAGCAACATAGTCAGACTGTGGGATCCTATCTCGAAAAAACTTTGCAGATGCCCTGCGAGTGAAGTAAAGCTATTGATTCATTGATGTTAAAATAATCTCAGAAATTCACAAAAAAAACAGTAAAGTGGCCTATTTTAGGTCAAGGGCATCCCTAAGAAATACCACAGGAATGAGTATCATAGACCAATACTAAACAGGAAAAGAGAAAACAGGCTGCAGCCCAGGGTCAGTTAAGGAGAACCTTGAACAGCTAGGATGGTCCCTGAGGCCTAATAAGGTTGTAACACCTGGTAACCTACTCCTTGTGTTTTAGAGGTAAGTGTGAACTGGCTTTGTAGCTTTGCTGTAGAACTGAGTAGTACTGTATGTTGAGTATAAGCCTTTTATTATGGTAAGTAGGAGTAAAAGGAAGAATAATTCTACTTTATATTCCAAAAGTTGTATTCCTAAATTGGTGATCTTTCCTTTTGGGGGGAGGGGTGAGGTCTCACAAAGTAGTTCAGGCTGGCCCCGAATTCACTATATAGCCTAGACTGACCTTCAGTTTGTGATGATCCTCCTGCCTCAGCCTCCTGAGTAGCTTGGATTACAGGTGTGCACCACCACACTTGGAAGATATTTGACATTTATTTCTTGAGTTATATAATCTTGCTTTAAATTTGTAAGTCTTCCTGAACTTTAGTGTGGTGTTGGAAAAATTGGTTCCCTTTTCTGTGAGACTGTTTAATTTAATTTACCTTTCATGTGTTGATAAATGTCAGAATGTTGAAGCAGACACAGTTGTGATTATGTTTGCCTCCCTCCCTTTAAGGGAAACAGCCATGTTAACTTTAAAATACAAAAACAATAAATTTATTTAACAAGTGGATAGTTTGATCCACTAAGTATTTGCAAGCATGTTGCTTTCAGCATTTTTCTTTCTTTTTCTCCACTTTTGTTTTAATTTGGTACCGGGAATTGAATTCAAGATCTTGTGCTTACCACTGAACTGTATCCCTAGCATGCATGTTGCTTTCTTGATAGGTCCTTTTTTACAGTGCTGGCAGTTGAACTCAGGGCTTGCACTTGCTAGACGAGTACTTTTCCATTAAGCCATGTTCTCCAGCCCTGGTCCCATTTCACAGACCCAAAATATGGTGACAAGCTAGTGAAAATGAAGTAACTTTGCAATATTAGTCTAACTTTTTGATTTTTTTTCCTTTCTTGTAGTGCTAGAGACTTGAACCATAGCATCACACATACCAGGCAGGGTGCTTTATCACTGAGATAACTTAGTTTTTATCCGAAATGGTTTCAGATAAAGCAAGTAAGCCCTTAGAACTCTTACAAAGTAACACTAAATTCAGATTTGATATAGATTTCCTTCTACCTCCTATTGTGAAGGAATTTTCAGGTTTTTAGGATAATTGCATTTTTCTCACCCCAATATGTAAATATTTTGTTTGAGATGAACCTGGGATCAGCGTGCGCTTAATAATATAGACTTGAGTTTGATTATTTCTAATCCAGGAGTTTTTTCCAACAAATGGTTTGCTTGCTTTATGAGAATGGATGATCATGAGTTTAATTTTCTAGGTAACTGGGATACAGATTCTTAATGATGCTAATTTTTTCTATTTCAAAAAGATCTCAGAAAAAAAGGGTTAGATTTAGCTCAGCGGCATAAGCACCTGCCTTGCAAGCAGGTGGTCGTGAGTTCGATCCCTGGTATCGATAAAAAAGGAAAAGACAAAAAAAGAACTTTTTGGAGTGTGTTTTTTGGTTTTTTTGAGGTAGAATCTCACTGTGTAGCCCAGTCTGGCCTTGAACTCGTGCAGTCCTCCTGTCTCAGCCTCCTACATACTGAGATTACAGGGGTGTGCCGCCATATCCAGCTATAGTTAATTTAAAGTTTGATTCCATTTATAGTTTAGTAGAGAATAGGTGTATAAAATTTACTAGTCTTTGCATATCTTGGGTATAGAAATGATAATTTGTTTCCCACTTAATATTTTTCATAAGCTGCAGTTAGGCATGTGGGTATTTGTCTTCCACACTATAACACTTAACTTGATGAAACTTATCTTTTTGTCCTCCCAGAGCTCAGGTTTCTCAAACCACATCTTTCTGTTAATGTGTAGGGGCAGCAGAACATGATAGTAGCATGTAGGCTTTCGGTCAGTATCTGAGTTTAAAGAATTCCAGGGTATTTGGGGCTGGGGATTTAGCTCAGCGGCATAAGCGCCTGCCTTGCAAGCAGGCAGTCGTGAGTTCGATCCCTGGTACCAATAAAAAGGAAAAAGACAAAAAAAAAAAGAAAAGAAAAAAGAACTCCAGGGTATTTAAGTAACCTTGGCAAGTTACTAAACTGCTTCAAGCCTTATTTTCATCTGTGAGAAAGCGGTAAGCCCCAGTTGTGAAAAATAAATGATATAATATACGTAAACCACATAGCATAATGTGATAGAGAAAGGCATTTAAAAAATAAGAATAATGCCAGGTGTGGTGGTGCATGCCTGTAATTCCAGTCTTAGGAAGCTGAAGTAAGAGAATCTCTGCAAGTTCAAGGCTGCCTAAACTGTAAAGCAAAACCCTATTTCAAAAAGACAAAAAAATTGGGCTGGGGATATAGCTCAACAGCACAGTGCCTGCCTGGCAAGCGCAGGGTCCTGAGTTCAATTCCTGGTGCCAAAAAGAAAAATAAGTATAGTTACTATAAAGAAATTTGAAGGCAAGATTTGCAGTGGGCTAGAGTGATTGTGTTAATAAGTTTGGAATCAATTTTAAAAAGTCACCTGGCTGCTGTTTATAACCTTCATAGTTGGAAGTCCATAAGCCTTCCAGTATACTTTGATTTCTGGCTCACGTTCCTCCCATCATTCATGTTTATAAACATTTTGGTCCCTGTCACCATTCCTTGAAAACTAATTAAATGCATCCTTGAGTACATAATAATGTCAATGTCTATTTGCATCCACTACAGCTAGATATAACTATCTTCTCTGTGCTGGTCTAATTTGTGTCAAGCCTTAGAACCAAAGACAGATTCCAGGGGTTGATGTGGGGCCTCCAGGATGGGGATTGCACAGAATAATCTTATTTTTCCTCTATTCTTCTAGTCTGTTATGTTCTGAACCCACACATGTTTTCGGAAGGACCAGATGGCTGACACTGGCTAATGGGAACCAAAAGACGAGTGAAAGTAACCTGGTTGTCTCATACCCCCAGCTTAGAGGTGCCTCATCCTGCCCCAAGATCAGTGTCTTTTTTCTCTGGAGACTTCACCCTGCTGTATAACAAAACTACTACAGAAAAGTTGGGCATAGGCCAGCTACTTGGGAGGCCAAAGAGGAAGGATCACTTGAGCTTAAGAATTTGAGACTACCTAGGCAACATAGTGAGACCCTATCTCAAAAGAAAATTTAAAAACTAATACTAAACAGCAGCATTTGTTAAATGAAAAAGGTTATCTCAGAATTATGAGAACAAAGGAGAACCCCTCTGCTTTTAAAAGGTATTGGGATTTTGTGGTTCAGACTTGAAATTTATTAGACCTGAGTTAAAATGCAGCTCTACCACTTTTAAGCTCCTTGACAGCAAGTTGCTTAACTTCTTCAAGTCTCAGTTTTCTTGTAAAGTGGGAATATAGTACATTCTTCAAATTTGTTATGAGGAATAAAAATATAGTTGACTTACTATGTGCCAAGCAGTATGTTAAATTCCCCACAGTTACTGGCCTTCATAATTAAATGAGAAGATAAGCACAAAGAAAAAAAGAAAGTTTGAAAATCCATAAACACATTGCTGAATATATAAAGATTTGAATAAAAATGCTAAAGAAAGTGCTAGGACAAGTTTCTAAGGCTTCATAAAAGCAATACTTCTCAAGCATAAGGAAGAATATTGAAATGATTCAACTTATGAAGTCAAGTTGTTCAGAGTTTAGAGAATGAAAGTATTTAGGCATCACTGTAGACTTTACACAAAAGAAAGCTTTCGTGGCTGACTTTCCCTGCTACAGTGTAAAGAGACAGGTTGACTAAAATAGTCAAAATACAGAAATTGCTGGGACAGGTAGAGACAATTATGAGGGCCCAGCTGAATGAGAAAACTACAGCTTGGCAGTAAGCCCAATAGGTAACTAGAGAGGAGCAGTCAAAAGTGACTACAAGGTTGCTGGGAATGAACTAGATAGCAGGGCATCTGGAAGAGAGAAATCATGAGGTAGGTTTTCTTCTTTGAAGGTGGGGAAAGATCAAGTGCAGACTGAGCTGTGGCCAACCGTTTGCAGACCAGGAATCCACACTAGCTCTAATCAGAGAGCTCTTGGTGTGCAGGAACTGCCAGTTTGCCGACGTGAAAAGAGCCCCAGACTGGGTAATGGTGAGCCTTGAAGTCGCACCCCAGCTCTGCCACTCAGTGAGCACGGGTAAGTCATCCACCTTGTCCGGGTGGCCTTGAAGGCACTCCCTCTCCTGAGAGTAAAGAAAGGGAGGCCAGGAAACTCAGAGCAGCCTCTGTCCTGTCCCAGGATAGCAAAAGATCTCAGGAAACTACTCATGGTAGCAGCTTCCAGTTGTGGGTTATAAGCACCCTCTGGTACCAGGCAAATCCTATTGCAACAGTAATCATTGATCCCGAGATATAAATGTGGCACTGGTTAATTCTGCTCTGAGGGCCTAACTGCTGAGTCCCTGGAATGTTGCAGACTATTAACCTGGGCAGTTACACTGCCTCATGCACAAGTTTTTCTTCTGAGTTACCCTTTCCTGAGCTGTAGTGTTGGTTGCAGAACTGTTATTGTTCTACAGATATCCAAGTACTTTATGCAGAGAGCAAGAATTACTGTTTTTATTACTGTGCTATCAGTGTGTCCTAAGTTTTTCACTCAGTAAGACCAAGTTGATTAAAGCATAGGATCAACTTTGAATGCTTCAAAGAAAGCTATTTGATTCCTGTTTATTGAATGCCATTTCTTTCAGGGTAGATTTAAGGGCTTTGCCCTTAAAGTACAGTGCTACTGACTCTAGATTGAGGGTTCAAGCCACCCATGGGTTAACTTCAACAGATGAAAATTTTTCCTTGGCTACAGCAACATCCCTAATCCTGACCAGCCATGGAGAGGTTCGGTTCTTACCAGGAAAATGAGTGAATGTGGGAATGGCTCACCACATTGGGAAAACAAAACTCACATCCTGCTGATGGTTGGCTGAGGACTGTCATGTCCACATACAAAGAAAAGCATGTGGCACAGTTTTAGGACAAAGGTGAGCAGAGATCTACCGTGGAAAGGGGCACATTTTTCTTATAGAGAGAACATCCAAGGCATGCCCCTCGGTAAGCAGTGTTGGTGGGTGACCATGGTCACGCGCATGGAGGCTTGCTTTCCCTGCTCCTCATCTCCACTCCCCAGCAGGTTCCCATAGCTAGCACCCCCAGTCACACCCTGCTCAGGCAGTCATTGGTTGGCCATGTTCTGAGTAAGCCTGGCCATCATTGCTCAGGGGGACCTATTCTCTATTCTTTGTTCATTGAAGATAGTTGGAAAACAGAGGTGAGGTGCCCCAAGCGTGTGGTAAACTGCATGTTCTTCAGTTCAGTAGAACACAGAAAAGGGCAGTTCTAGAAATCTTTGGTACCGTTAGTATCAGGGATTAGTATCAGAGAAAACCTATTCGGCAGCAACGCAAGCTTGGGTAAGGATTCTTGGGTGAAGGAATCTGGTAACATTTCTAAAATTGAAGTCTAGGAGTACCACAGTTTGAAAACCTGTCATTCTAGTTGGACCTTTGCAGAGTTCTGACTGATGATTGAACAGTATATTAACTGGCATGAAGACTAGATCATTATGGAGATAAGAATGGATTCAATCTGGCTTACTTTCTGGTGTCCTGGTACCTGTCTATACTTCGTAAGAATAGTGATGTTCACTTTTAGGTGGAAAATGACAAGAAATGCCTCTTTCTACTCCTCGTTCTTTTGACTCAGTTTGTCAGAATAGAACATGACCAGAGGAAAACAGTTTGTAAGGGGCAGTACCAGAGAAATGTAGGATTATTATTATTATTTGCATTTGTTTTGTTTGTTGGATTTTGAGACAGGGTCTCACTGCACATGGGTGGGGGTTGAACTCATGTAACCCAGGCTGGCCTTGAAATCGTGAGGATCTTCCTGCTTCAGTCTCCTGAGTGCTGGGAGTACAGGCATGCTCTACCACACCCTGTTTGTTTTTGAGACAGGGTCTTGCTATGTAATTAGCCTGGAACTGGTAGCAATTTTCCTGCCTCAGCTTCCCAAGTGCTGGGATTACATGTATTAAGCCACCACACCCAGTTTGAGTTTTTTAATTTAAAAATTTGCTTAATTAAAAAATTCAATAGTAAGGCCTCATCTTTTTATTCTTTCACATAGTATGGGGAAGATTAAAAGGCACGGCATCTGAGAGTTAAGGCCAAGTGTGTTGGAGGGCTGTGTGTTTTTATTAGTCTCTGCTGTATGAAGACTGAAATTGTGTTTAGATTCATTCTCCTTGATTGTCGGGTCCTCTTCATTCTCACACTAGAATTACTGAAAGATGTTCTTCTTAATATGGCAGGAAAGGAAGTGTGTGTGCTGTTAGTGTTAGAGACATTTATCTGTTGGGTTGTTTTGTGAGGTTTATTCACAGGTCTCACCAAAGAGTTGTATGTTTAATATAGACACAAGCGTACATATAATATTTTGTATCCATCCACACACACTACTTGGACAAAAGATTCATTTAAAAAAGACTTTCTGAGAGAAAAGGTTAATTTCCTATTATTAGCCTAAAAAGAATGTTTACGCTGATTTTAAGACTTGTGTTAATATAGTTTTACTTTTTGAAGACACTAAAATTTAATTCAAGGAAAGTTAAATATTTAAAGCTAATTAACCCAGTTTTAAAAATATTCTAGATAATAAAATTAAGTTTATTCCTGTTCATCTGTTGCTTTTATGAACCTCTGGAACTACCTACCACCTTGGTCCTGACCTGTCAATTTTTAGAGTTTAAATCTATCCTTAAGCCAAAGAAGTAAAAATTTAACATTTATCTCTCATGCTTTTGGTATTTGGACAAACTTCAGAGATAAATAGTATAGTTCTCTCACTTCAGAAATAAATTAAGACCCCTTCTAAAAGTGAAACAAATTAAAATCGTTTCACAATTAAAACTGTTCAGTGTTAGCTTCTAACTGAGCCATAACTAAAGCCCAGGCCCACTGTTTGTGCTGCCTCAATCTTAATGGTTATGGCTTCGGGCTGTGGTTTCAGACCACAGGCTTTTTAACGCCAGCTCTACTAGTTTTTTAAGTGAACCTGTTTGACTTTGTGCCTCAGTTTCATTGTCTGTGAAATAGGAATAGTAGTACCTAGCTCTTGAGTACCATGAATATTAAATAAAGTAACTTTCTAGTGTAAGTTACTTAATAAAACCAGAAAACTTTTTTTTTTTGAAACAGTGTTCCACTATGTAGTCCAGGGTGGCCTCAAACTCATGGCAATCTTTCTGCCTCAGCCTCCTGAGTGCTGGGATTACAGGTGTGCACTACCACACTCAACTCAGATAACATTTTATTGTTATTATCTATAGTCCTTCTGCCTTATTTGGGGGACCCATTTGCTGTGCTTATTCAAGGAAAGCAAATCTACGGTAATTTGATAAAAGCAGTCACATACCACTGCAGTATTATACCCTCAGAAAAGGAATTCCTATTGAATATGATTTGCTGAATGGGAAGATTTTTGTTTTAATCTTCAGACCTATCTAGCATGCCAATGGCAGAGAGAAGTGACAGTTAAGTGCCTGATTTGATCCTTAGACTGGACTCTGACATTAAAATGTTCTAAATAGGGGCTGGGGATTTAGCGCAGTGGCATAAGTGCCTGCCTGGCAAGTCTGAGGTCATGAGTTCAATCCCCATTACCACAAAAATAAATAAAACAAAATGAAATAAAATAAAGTGCTCCAAATAGATTTTTTCACAGAAGAATAGTCAAAATTCTTTTTGTGACATAAATTGGGGTTTTTTTTTTTTGTACTGGAAATCAAACTCAGGACCTCACTCTTGCCAGGCAGGTACTGTACCACTGAGCTAAATTCCTGACCCCCAATAATTTGGATCTTAAAAGTGTCTTGAATCTCTTCCCACCTTTGCAATATGGTTGTGACCCATTTGTTGGAACTTTCAAGATACATATATTAGGAAAGGACTGTAAGGGTCATTTTCCTATAATATCACAAACTGTCCCTACAACTCAGTAAAGAATTTTGATTTAGAGTGTACCTTTACCCTCAGCTTGTAGAGAGATAGGTCTAGCTATCTATTTATTTATTTTCTTTTCGTACTGGGAATTGAACTCAGGATCTTGCACTTGCCAGGCAGGCACTGTGCTACTGAGCTGTATCCCTGGCCCTAATTTGTATTTTTAAATAATTGTGCCTCCACTGAACAGATTGTGCTTGCTTTTCCTGAAAGGTCGCAGTGAGTTCTGCATACCCTTGGAGTACCACGGTTTCTGAGCCTGGAAGAACATTCCTACGTGGATATGACAGAAGCATCATTTGGTGTCCAAAACAGCTGGCGTTTCATTTGAGTTACCTTGGAGAGCTTTGGATCTTGAGTTCTCTGACCCCTGAGGGAATAAAACCTTAACTATTTGGAGAGAAAATAGTTTGGATTTTCCTGTGATGCTTTTGTTTAATCCTTAGGAGTCAGTGCTGTTCTGACTTCACACTAGATGAGATCTGGTCATTGAGTGGTACCAAGCCAGTGGGTGCATCCTAGGGGAGGAAAGAGCATTTCACCCTGCCTATGTCCTGCATTCTCCTTCATCCCTCCCTGCTTGCTGCCAGGCTCTAACATGGTACTAAGAGCAGTGATCCTGTAGGCAGGGCAGAGCCAAGACTGATCTGGACAGCTACGTTAAGGAGTGCTTTTTCTTTTTTAATGATCTGCTTAGATCCATTAGATGAAAAATATCTTTAAAGAAACCAGCATAAAGTAGATTGGGTTTTTTTTTTTATTTGCTTCATTAAAACTTTTATCATGAAAGAAACAATAGTTTGCCTGATGAACAACCGTTCTACCTAGGAAGGGCAAAAGCAACTACAGTGTATTATGTATTACAGATTTTTAGTGAGTATAAATCACTGTTGAACATAGCAAGTCAGTGAGTTTAAGAGGCTTTACTTGCCTTGTCAAATATAACAGCATGTTAATCATTCTTATTAAGCTACTCAGCAGTTCTAGCCTATAGAAGCATGAAACCATATTTTAAAGTGTTTATAGCCCTTCTAAATTGTGTTTCTGCAAAACTCTTCCTATTAGATGTCTGGGTGTGTGTGTTTGTCTTTTAATGAAGTTGAGATTTAGTGACTCCAATAGTTTGAATGCCACTAAGACATTTCAACATAAAGAACTCTCCAAAACTGACCTACACCTTATAACAGCATATTGTCACCTTGAGAGATTCTTGCATGAAAAGGACTTTTAATAAAAGAATTTCAGCAACTCTGGGTTCTCTCACTTAAGGTGTTAAGTACAGCATTACAAACTGGAAAAAAAATTACAAACTAGAATTGTTTTTTGTTAGTAACAGACTGGATGAACCTCTGGAGAGTCTTACGGCCTATTCCTAGTGGCAGGATTGGGATGCAGAAGAGTACTTACTGGTCAGTGTTTGACTGTACATGACTTTGTTAGAACCTAAAGAAATTTCTTGCAACTTTCCTTTGTGATTAGGTAGGATCAGCTGAATTTTGTTTTTTAAATAAGGACAGTGGGCACAAAGCTAGGCTTTTCACAGCAGTGTTAGACTAAACTAAATGAGTAATTTTGAAAACATAGTTTATGGGGTGTTTGTTTAATCTTGCTTGTAAGTCCCTTGCAAGTTTTGGGCTTTACAGATTATTCTTCAGTGGGCGTTAATAGGATTTGGGGGTTTGTTTTCTTTCCACTTTGTATTAACAATGATATCTCCTTGTTGGGAAATTCCTAGCAATTTAATATAAAGAAGTTTACACAGTTGTATACAGGTTTTAGGGAGCACCAGCATATCTAAAATGTCATTTCACAGGGAAGTAAACAGCTCCAATTTTTTTTCCACTGGTAATTTTTGAAGCAGTTAATTCATTTGTGACTAATTTCTTCAAGTAGAAGAATAGGAACTTTATAAAGCTTTTTTGTTTCTTTCTTTTGCAGTGGAGGTTTAAGATACTGTGATTTTTTTTACCTGCTGTGTTACTCCAGATACAATTTAGCAATACAACAGTGCCTGGCTGTAGATCTAATTGTTCTCTAAGATAACTCATAAAACCTTTTTTAAAAACAAAGATGTTCTGTGTGATGTTTAAAGAGCAAACATTCAACTTGTGAAGTTATGTACCCTGATACCTTAAACCAAACATCCCTTGGAGGTCTTTGCTGTCCTCTCCATCTGCTTGGGGAAATGAAACTTCTGTATGTTTTCTGTATATCTAGGCAGCTCCCCTCTAGGAAGCTAGGGGTCTACCTTGAGAAGTCGCCCTACCTCTTGCAGTGCCTGTTGGCACAAAAAGCAAAGTGGTTTCAGCTAAGAAGAGAAAACTGACCCTTAGTTTGCAAAACCCACCTAACCTTTGCTAAGCATGAACTTCATTGCTTTCTCTTGAATGTTAGTGAAGCTAGGTATCAAATTGATGCCAACTGGGATTTTGTTTGCTTTCTTCTAGGTATGGTTTTGTGGAGTTTGATGATCTGCGAGATGCAGATGATGCTGTTTACGAACTGAATGGCAAAGATCTTTGTGGTGAGCGAGTAATTGTTGAGCATGCCCGCGGCCCACGACGAGACGGCAGTTACGGTTCTGGACGCAGTAAGCATTTGAAGGACATATTTGTATCAACAGCATGCCTTGGTTATTAAATGTTAATTTTTAAAAGTAATTAATTATTGCATTTAACTGTATTGATGTTTAAGCTATTTGTTTTATCAATTTTGTATCTTTTTAAATGTAGAATTGCAAATAAACATCTTTGATGTAATGTAATTTAATTAATGACAAATTTGTTTTAATATTGTATAAATATGTTTAATGATGTGTGTTATTGGTTTTTTTTTCTCTGTTACACAATTGTTTAACATAGATTTATAACAAAGACCTCAATGTTTTAATTAAAAGATTCCTTTGAGGCTAAGATGACTGCCTGTTCCATTTGCTGACCTTGGGTTACCTTTCCATGCGTGGCTCTTTGAACCTTTGTGGCCCTTGGCTGACCAAAAACAGGAAGCCATGTGACGACCGCAACCTTTCCCCATTAGACCTGGGTGGTGAGGATCCCGAGGGTTAGACACAGATGAGATTAAACTGAAATAGGTGCCTGAAAATCTTTTTTTCATATAAAATATTCACAAAAACTTTTAATCACTGTGAGTAACAATAGGAACTGATTTAGTAATTTGGCTACTTATTTCTAAATTGTTAAATTTAATATTTTAAAATTTATGCATGTTGATTTTAAATATAAATATTAATGAGTATATACTTACAATCTTGTAAATTAAATTGTCATGTTTAACTCATAGCTTTTTATAAAAATTGAAATTAAGGGTGGGATTAGAATTAACATATATATGCTGTTGTTTGGGGTGGGGAGTAAATAATAATATATTTTAAGGGGAATATGTGTTGTGTTACCTTTTCTTTTTCCTCCACTAAAGTAATCTTATGTATTTGGACCTTCCAAAGGTGGATATGGTTATAGAAGAAGTGGCCGAGATAAATATGGCCCTCCCACTCGCACAGAGTACAGACTTATTGTGGAGAATTTGTCAAGTCGGTGCAGTTGGCAAGATCTAAAGGTTTGGGCTTCATTATCCTTCTTGGGTAAGGTTGGGGAGGAGTTAACACTGGGAAACAGGTACATTTATGTGAGCATACGTAGAATGTAAGTAGTGTTTCTCTGATAGCTTCATCAGAGTGTTGGGAAATTCTCCAATTAAAATTTTCCATGAGAGTACAAAGAGACACCAGAATTTCATTTATACTACCTTTGGTGAGGCCATCAGTCTAAGGCCAAATCTGTTGATGAACTTTTCCTCTATCCTCAATGTTACAAGGAGATGCCAGGGTAGTTTATCACCACTAAAAGGTTAAAACCATCAGTGTTTGTGGAAACACTAGCTATAACAAATTTATGTTAGCTTCCAGTACAGATTCTTATAACGTTGGTTTTTTTTCCAAGAAATATTTATCCTGAAAGGATTTTAGTGTTAAGAATTGAGGTTCATGGCTGAATATGGTGGCACATACCTGTAATCCTAGCACTTGGAAGCCTGCAGCAGGAAGATTGCTATGAGTTCAAGGCCAGCCTGGACTACACGGCAAAACTCCATCTCAGACGGACATACACAAAAAATTAAGGTCCAGCTGTACATTGGACATCCAGGTTACCTCAGCTCATTTCTTGAGAAGAATATTGGTTTTCAATCTTAATAGGGAAGAAAAATTTACTTGTATGCTAACCTAGATGATCAGTTTCCTGTTTTTCCTTTTTTCATTTGGATCCACCAATAAATAAGACATTTCTAGGAAAGTGAATGAGTACATTTAAACTCATTCATGTCATCTTAAAACCATATATTTTTCTTGTTAAAATTGGTTTTTGTTCCCAACAACCTTCAGATAACAAAGATGAAATCCAGAAAATCTTAAATCATACAGTTGATTTTAGCAGAAGACCTAGGAACAGGACTCTTGACTCCCCGCGCAGAGATTTTTTAGTACATTATGATGCACTGACTGTCAGCATTATAGTAGATCCTTACTCAGTGTCTACTGATGAAGTTGTGCTTGCTGAAGGAACGACTGAGAATTCTGAGAGATAAGGATTAAACATTGTGAGTAGTGCAGCAGGCACGCCCGTTACCCCATACTAAGAATTGAACTTGGGGCCTTAATTAACTCAGGCTCTAGCCCAAGACCTTTTTTGAGAAAAGGTCTCACTAAGTTGCCCAGACTGGGCTGGAACTTGCAATTCTTCTACATTAGCCTCCCAGAGCATTGGGATTACAGTCTTACACCACTGGCAGAAGTTACTGGTTACTGTCTACATGAACACAACATGCCAATCCTTCATGAGGTGTCACTAAATATACTACCAATTTCTTTAAAAAGTTTTCAGTTTCTTGGTTAAAATGGAGTCTAGTTGACTGCCTTTCTTGGCATTGTACTTCTGTTTTTTTTGTGTTTTTTTTTGGGGGGGGGGGTCTTTTTCCTTTTTTATTGGTACCGGGGATCAAACTCACGACTGCTTTCTTGCAAGAAGGCACTTATGCCGCTGAGCTAAATCCCCAGCCTGTACTTCTGTATATTTACACAGTTTTATTTCAGGGAAGCAGCAGTTTCTTGGTAAATCAAGGTTTCTCTAAGAACAGGGCCTGGATTGAATCACAGTTCTGCCACTTAACCATTTTTGTGACGGTAGCAAGTTCTTTTTCTTTGTTGCCTATATTCCTCAACTAAAATTTGGTTAATAATAATTTCTAATCAAGATTATTGTGAGAACTAAGTACATTTTTATTAAAAGATCTAGAATGGTTCCTAGTACCCAAAAAAGAGAAATGTTAGTTATAGGCCAGGTGCAATGGTGCATGCCTGTAATCCCATCATTCAGGAGGCTGAGGCAGGAAGACTGCTGAGAGTTCGAGGCCAGCCTGGACTGCATAATAAGACCCTGTTTCAGAAAGACCAAAAGAAAAAGTTAAAGAAAATGCAAAAATAAATTTAAGAGATCTTATTTGTTTATAAATTTATAACTAATATGTTGTCATTGGGCTGAAAATCATATATTAATATAGTGTTAGACACATTGAGAATGGTAGTTTCATATTATGTAGGGTGGTGTTAAGAATTGATCCAGGAGTATTACTATTCCAGCTCACTGGTTTATTTCCTGAATAACCTTGAGTAGTTTACTAATAGTTCTGATTTCACTTGCCACATCTGTGAAATGGAAGTGATTTTGTCTATCTTATGTGGTTATAGCTAAGACTGTGTGGTTATAGCTAGGACTGAGTTACTTAAAATATATCATACAATAAACATTCAGTACATTAGCTGATTTTTATTACTTAATTTGCAAATGTGACAAGAGTAGTGACATTTTCCAGGCATCACTAGAATGATCCTATATCTCATTTTGCCAGTGCAGTCCCAGCCTTGTCCTGACTACCCTCATTCATTGGTTTTTTTTTTTTTGGTACTGGGAGTCGAACTTAGGACCTTGCACTTGCCAAGCACGCACAGTGCCACTGAACTATATCCCAGTCCTCATTTGTTGTTAAGGATATCCTATTTTGGATGGCTCCCTTTTACCCAGAATCCCCACTCCTGAAAACATTGCAGTTGAAAAAAGACATGTTTATAATGAGATGTTCTTGACTAGATTATGAATAATAGCAAAGTGTTAATAATTGAGAGATCCTCAGAAAAGTGTTGGGCACACTGTGAAAATTATGTATACGTTAAAACGTGAACATTTTTATGATGCAGTGAGCAAAGAATCAATATAAAATTACATGTGTAAGGACCTGGAACATGTTCAAGATGGTGTAGTCCAGTGGTAGAATGTTTTTTTATGTTTTGCCAATTTCTATAAATGTATTTTCAGACATGGATATATAATGAAATTTAAAACACCTAACCTAACGTAGAGCCAGGCATGGTGGCGTACACCTGTAATCCTAGTACTCAGGATGCTGGGCAGGAGAATTGCCATTAAGTTCAGGGCCACCCTGAACTACGTAGTAAGACTCTTATCTCAAAAAAGAAAAAAGGCTTCACTTAAATGCAGTGACTTAATCTGCTATAAATAATTTTTATATTCACAAATTTATTTAAAGGAACAATTTAATTTTTATTATCTTTGCCACTCACTTACTCCCTTGTGCTTTAAAAATTTACTTCAGTAAATAGTTGCTGGGTATGTGGGAATATTTAATTTAAGCATAAACCTTGCTCTCAGGAAGGTTCTTAAATGAAAAGGAAAGCTTTCACTGTAATGGTCACATCTGATATTTTAGCAAAATATATCCTAATGTACTCAAGTGTTTTTGTTTTTTTTTTTTTTAGGATTATATGCGACAGGCAGGAGAAGTCACCTATGCAGATGCTCACAAGGGACGCAAAAATGAAGGAGTAATTGAATTTGTATCTTATTCTGACATGAAAAGAGCTTTGGAAAAGTTGGATGGAACTGAAGTCAATGGCAGAAAAATCAGATTGGTTGAAGACAAGCCAGGGTCTAGACGGCGCCGGTCCTACTCCAGGAGCCGGAGTCACTCAAGGTACCATTAACAGTGTCTTTCGTGTGACAGAAGGCAGTCACTACCAGTTTATTACTGATCATACAGATAGTTGGCTGATATTTTCATTGGGTGCTCCATTCTGTGATCCTGTTTGGTTCAGTAAGTTGGAACTTTGAACTGAACATTTATTGATAAAACCCTCGAATTCTTTTTGTCATGAGTACAAGCAGAAGTAAAGTCCTCTCTCTCAGACAGGAATCAGTGACCTTTCACACTTCTGTGGACTCTAAACATACACTGGGGCACACATGGGTACTGGTTTCTTGGTTACTCTCCTAAATACACCAGTTACTCAAGAGTGGACGCTTCGCTGGGCATGGTGGCACGCACCTGTAATCATAGCACTCAGGAATCTGAGGCAGGAGGATTGCTGTGGGTTCAAGGCCACCTGGGCTCCATAGCAAGTTCAAAGTCAGCCTGCAGTACATAGTGAGATCCTGTCTCGAAAAAAAAAAAAAAGAGTAGAGACTTCATCATATTTGGCAGCTCTTCTGTCACAGGGCACACAGCAAGTTGTCATGAGACAGATCTGACCCTGTAGAGAAGAGAAGCTTTAAAAAGCAAATGATTGCCATTGTGACAGATCGATGGAAGGAAATATAATCTGGAGAGTTGACAAAGGCTTCCCTAATGACACTATGGAAGCCTAGCCTGAAAAGATGAATCAGAGAGACAAAGGGCCGAAGGGCAGTGCCTTTCTAGAGCATTAGAAGGGTGCTCTTGAAGGCCTGGGGGAAGAAGGGGCTCCCAGAGTAGGAAGGGCAATATCAGGACTCTGTATTTCTCATGTATTTGTGTTAAAGAAGCAAGGTCATCTGTGGCAGAGATTTTTTCACAGCTTAGATTTTGCTTGTTCTGTCATTAGGGTAGAGTTTAACACGTTTTTTTTGTTTTGTTTTGGTTTGGTTTGGTTTGGGTTTTTTTTGTTTTGTTTTGTTTTTTGTCTTTTTCCTTTTTATCGGTACCAGGGATCAAACTCACGACTGCCTGCTTTCAAGGCAGGCGCTTAACGCCGCTGAGCTAAACCCCCAGCCCCTGTTTAACATGTTTTTTACCCATCTCCTACACTTGCTATGGACTCATAGTTAGATCTTCTTCCTCTTCTGTTTCCTTTTCCTCTTCCTCTTCCCCCCTCTTCCTCTTCCTTGTTTTCCTCTTTCTTTTTTTTCTTCTTCATAGTTAGATTTTGAGACTAACTATGAAAAAAGACTTGTTTTTTTGAGACAGGATCTTGCTTTGTAGTTCAGGTTGGCTTTGAACTCACCATGTAGCTAAGGCTGGCTTTGAACTCATGGCAGTTCTCCTGCTTCAGCCTCCTGGTGCTGGGATTACAGGCGTGGGGCATGACACCTGACCAAAAAGACGTATTTTAGCAAGACTATGTTATGGTAATGCCTTGTACATGCTTCATGTTGTACAATTTACCCTATATCTGCAGATATCCTGCTTTGAATGATGATAGATGGCAAAGTGTGCCTAGGAGTTGTCAGTCTGAACCATCCTCACTACCAGCTTGCAAAATATTAAGCACACCCTTGCAGTTTTTGAAGATGAGAAGGGTCCTTGTGAATAAGTTCTTGGGTGTATATGTATTTGATGTTTGATCTATAGTTTTTCCATATCTTTTTTATTAATAGATATTGGTAGTAGAGATCAGTGGGTTTAATTTTGGCAGATTTATACATACTAAACCATATTTTGATCATTTCTTCCCCATTACCCCTGGGACTGCCCTCCTCACTGATTGTACTTTTTTTTTTTTTTCCTCCCAGTGCGTGCATTTGTTTGTTTCTTTGTTTGTTTGATCCTTTTGAGACAGGGTCTCACTTTGCAGTTCAGGCTAACATTGAACTCACTTGGTAGCCCAGGCTGGCCTTGAACTCACAGCAGTCCTTTTGCCTCAGCTTCCTGAATGCTAGGATTACAGGCATGTGCCACCATGCCTGTATTTTGATCTTAACCGTCCCCCCTGCAGTCATAATGTCTTAATGTTTACCTTGTTTCCTCTGTGGTCATTGAAAGTCCTTCAGTTTGGCTTCATGTCTTCATTCTTTTGTGTGTTTTTGGTTTTTTTGTTTTGTTTTGTTTTTATGTAACTTACTATTTCCTCATACCTTTAGTTGTTGTCATTTTTAAAAACAAAAAGTTGAAAGACTAGTTCATGAATACATATATGTCCCTTCTTCTACCTTTATAGTTATTTTGCCTTTTCTTTCTGTCCTCTCCCTGTATATATGCAAATATATGTATTTATGCATGTACATGTATTTTGTATTTGAAAGAGTTGTAGAAATTTTGGCATTTCGCTCTTGTAATTCAGTGTGTCTCCCAAGAATGACTATTATGACCACAATTTTTTAGGTTCTCCCCTAAGCACATTAGCAGCACATAATTCTGTCAAGTCACCTAGTGTCCAAGCCTTACTCATATTTCCTGAGTTGCTCCATGGATGTCTTTATGTCTGTCTCCCCATCAGGATCTAGTGTAATCATATATCACAAAAGTTTATTAAGCCTTGTTAACCTGGAGCAGTCCACACACACACACGCCATCATACTAATTTTTCTTAGCTTTTAAAGAACTATTCAGTATTCTGAATTGATCTGTTTCCTTTCTAACTGGTGAATGATTCATTGTCCCCTGGACTTCCTCTAAGGTGGAATTGAGTTCTGAAGAGATGTGATTGAGATTTAGGTTAGACTTTTGGGTAAGAGCCTTTAAAAGCGATGGTGCCCAGGGGGCTCTGACCATCTCCCTCTTTGTCTTCGTTGTATGTCTTAGGTCCATTTTGTACATTCCTATACATGGGGTCAGTTGTTAGGCCCAGGAGCCCCAGTTGCCTTTAACAGGATGTTCTAAAGAAAATTTACAGTCTGGGATTATTAATGGTTTTCTGAAGCTTGGGGAGTGTGTTTTAAGACGGTTCTCAGGGCAGAGTGTCTGCAGGAGAGCAGGATTGGAAGCTCATAGTGCTGTCGGGAGGGGTGACAGCCGGCCCTGGGAGGCAGTTGCCAAGGCAGGGAGACTATTAAGGATGAAGAGACAGAACCATCAATAGAATCAAGGGTGGCTGTCGTTTCTCATATGAAGAGCTGGGTAAACCACAGTTGGCATTAGTGAAAAATAACCCAACAGAAAGAGAAAATCAGAAGCTCAGGACGAGAGTCAAGAGAGGTGAGCTATCCAGGTAGAATGTTTGCAAGAGGCTGGGTCTGTGAGCCTAGACCATAGCAAAGAATTTGTGTCTAGACATAGCAAGAGCTATACTTTCTTTTTTTTTTGGCATGAGACAAATCCAGGGCCTTGTGTGTGCTAAGTAAGCTATGTCTCCAGCCCTTTTATTGATTATGTTTTAAGGCATGGTCTCAATATGTTGATCATACTGACTTGGAACTTGATCCTCCTGCCTTAGCCTCCCAAGTAGGTGGGATTAACAGCATGCACTTAGCATGCCTGGCTGGAAGTACCCATGTTTGATTGAAAGAATGTCTTGGGGCTGAAGTGTAGCACTTGTATAGCAAGCACAAGTCCTACCTTCATCCCTAGTACAACAAGCAGTTTGAGACTGTCCTCATTAACTCTAATTATAACTAGCCCTTCGTCAGCAAGTTAAAAATTTCTCCCCACAGGTCTCGCTCTCGAAGCAGACATTCTCGGAAAAGTAGAAGCCGAAGTGGCAGCAGCAAAAGCAGTCGATCTCGGTCCAGGTGGGTCCACCTTGGGATCGGGAGGTTGGCAGGAGGCCCTGCATCATACCTTACTCGGATTTTACTTCTTCACTCACTCCAGCTTTTGCAGTGCCACATTAGATTTGAGGGGTCCGGAGAGCAGTCCTTGCCATGCAGCCATGCCTTTTCATCTGTGGTCTTTTCATCCCAATCAGCATGAAGTGTGACACCACATCCCATATCTCCTCAGGTCAGGCTCCCACTCCCGGAGCAAGAGCCGCAGTCGCAGCCAGAGTCGCAGCCGCAGCAAGAAGGAGAAAAGCAGGAGTCCCAGTAAGGATGACAAGAGCCGCAGCCGCAGCCACAGTGCTAACAAGAGCCGCAGCAAGAGTAAAGACCACGCTGAAGACAAGATCCAGAACAATGACAGCGCTGGGAAGCCCAAGAGTCGGAGTCCCAGCCGGCACAAGAGCAAGAGTAAAAGTAGGAGCAGGAGCCAGGAGAGGAGAGTGGAAGAGGAAAAGCGAGGGAGCGTGAGCAGGAGCCGGAGCGAAGAGAAGAGCCGGAGCCAGGAGAAGAGCCTCCTCAAGAGCAGGAGCCGCAGCAGGAGCAAAGCGGGCAGCCGCAGCCGCAGCCGCAGCAAAAGCAAGGACAAGAGGAAGGGCAGGAAGAGAAGCAGGGAGGAGAGCCGCAGCCGGAGCCGCAGCCGCAGCCGCAGCAAGAGCGAGCGAAACAGGAAGCGCAGCAGCAAGCGCGACAGCAAAGGGGGCAGCAGCAAGAAGAAGAAGAAGGAAGACACTGACCGCTCCCAGTCCAGGTCACAGTCCCGGTCAGTGTCAAAGGAGCGAGAACCAGCCAAGGCTGAGTCTGGCCAGAGGGAAGGGCGCGGGGAGAGTGAGGATGCCGGCCCCAACCCGGAGGCCCAGGCAAGGTCAAGATCCAATTCCAAATCAAAACCAAACCCTCCGACAGAATCACGCTCCAGATCAAAGTCAGCTTCAAAAACCCGATCTCGGTCCAAGTCTCGATCCAGGTCTGCTTCCAGATCGCCCTCCCGGTCTAGATCCAGGTCCCATTCAAGGTCCTAACAGGCTACGACCACGGCTGGAACTACCGGAGAAGTCTTTTGTACATGTTTGGTAGCCGTAGCACAAGTGATTGAGGTAGAACATCCATCACTGCTGTACATTTTTAACCCCCCTAATGGTGTGTCTATAATTGTTAAATCTAAGTGCTTCCTCTCAGTAAAGCCTCTTGGCGCCAGGCCTTCCTGCTCGACTGAAAAAATCTCTCTGAAACTCCCTTTCCTCATGGCCCACAGTAGAATATCCAAAACGCCTTGGCATTCAGGCCTGGCCTTTCCTATAGGGAGCTCAGTACCTGGACAGCATTAAGGCTGGAATGATGGCATAGGTAGGTATGGTGAGTCCAACCATTTTTTGCCCTTGAATTGATGCCCTTTGATGTATGCCATTTAGTGAAAGTGCTAAGTCTTCAGTTTCCTACCACTTTGGTTTCATATTTTTGGACTTAACAAAGTTGTGAATAGCACAGTCGAGAAAAATTGATACCTGCAGTAACCCATAGGAAATAAACTGTAGAGTTCCATATTCTGGTATTGTGATTATATTGTTTTATATTAAAAAAAGAAAAGAATTTTTTTTAATTTTATTTTTCCCCGTCTTGCAAAGTATAGTGACCCCTGTTTCCATTAAATTTGAATAAAGACTATTTTTGCTTGACAAAATTTCATGGTGCCTGAATCAAAGTTGTATTTCCTGTTGTGTATTTGGAGGTGTCCTTAGTATAAGATGTTCATCTGTTGTGGCTCTGTTTTCCTTGGGATCATTGGCGATAGGAAGCCAGCAGTTCCCAAGGACTTTCCTCACCCAGGAGAATACAGGCAAGTTCCCAAGAATTTATAATTCTGGGATTCTGATTCTAGAGTTCTCTTAAAGAAACTTGTGGCTAAGCTGGTAAGAAATGAAGTCGTCTGGAAGTGTGGTGCATCACCATTGAACATAGACCTTTTTCCATGCTTTTCATTGAACTTGCTCTGTGAGCCTCTGTTCACTTTAGGATGAGCAAATCAAAAACCAGAAGGAACAGGGTCATGGGTTCAATCCCTAGTACCAAAAATAAAACCAGAAGGGAGGGGCTGGGATTTAGCTCAGTGGAACTGCCTGACAAGCACTAGGTCGTGACTTCGATCCCCAATGCCAAAAACAGCAGGAACAGAAAAAAAAACAGAAGGGAAAATGATGCTGGGATTACCTTGTCCCAGTGACTCTTGCACTGCTGGTTTCACCCAGCTCTAGGAGATTTCCCAGACAGGTGGTTCTAAGCTGGTCTCAGCCCTGGCACTACTGAGGGCCATCAAAATGGAGAAGAAGCTAGAGCAGGAAGCGTGGCAGCAAGTGAGTCACGGCGTGACTGTAGCAAGCTTGGGAGGAGAAAAGCTCTTCTCACACTGCTGTCTTCTCACCCTCTGTAGAACAGACCCACAGGGTGCTCTGGGAGTATAAGAGCAGTGTCTCTTCACACCTATCATCTCTGCACTTGAAGGGCAGGCAGATTGCTTTGAGTTCAAGACTGAAGAACATACTGAGTCCCTGTCTCAACAAACAGGGACATGGGTGTGGGAGCTGTTGCTGCTGAGAGAAGCATCTCAATGCAACCACACAGAGCATATGCAGTGGATCTGTGAACATGGGCTTGAGGATGGGGTCTAGGGAGCTTCAGCACCACGAGGGGGATTCTGCCTCTGTCCTGTACGCACTGGGGAACTCTGAAAACGACCCAGCTGGGAGCAGACCTTTGTCCTCAACCTGGCAGCAGTGCGAGGGTCTGCATCAGGAAACCACTTGCCATACAATGCCAGGTGGGGCCTGGTGGGAGGCAGCAGAAGAGCAGCAGCCAACGAGACTGGCCAGGCGGCCTGAAGAAAGGAGCTCAGGTGATCCCAAGATGGTAACGCAGCTCTGGGCTGCAGGGGAAGGTTTGAGGGAAGTGTGCCATTTGGAAACATTTTCAGGAGCAGACTGTGCAGCTAAACTAAAGCAATGAGTATCCCTAAAGCTTTCTGTCATATTTTTGTTTAATTTTTGCTACCAGAAATTGAACTCAGGACCTCGTGCTTCCAGGCAGGCTCTGGCCACTGAGCTGTATCCCCAGCCCTTCCATAGTTTTGTCTGGGGCCATTCTTTGACATCTTGACAAGGTGAAGAATCCAGTAAAATCCACCTCAAAGGGTGTCACGTTGGTCTCCGGTGAGTGGTGAGAGTTCACTATGCCCTTTCTTCCTCGTTACTTTAAAAGCCTAGTGTGTGCTTAGCATGCTCAAAACTGTGGGTTCATTTCCTAGTACCAAAAAAATTTTTCTTTAAATGCTGTGTTAATTGCACTCATAACACAGCAACTGTTTTCATTTGCGAGCTTTGGAAAGTTCTTGCTTAAATATATAAGCACATTGCTTCTAACCAAATGAATTTAGCACTGTGTTCTTTGAATTTAATGATATATGGAAATTCCATTTGTACATACAAAAGAACTCCAGTGGCATTTTTTTCAACAATTTTTACATTCATAGACTGTGGATAAAGAAAGCAACATGAGAAAAACAAGTGCATCCACTGAGAATGTATACCAGAGATAACATCAAGGACTCTTATGTAGTTTGAATCTTTTTCTGTAAGTAAAATCTTGGAAACAGTATTTTCAGACCCAAGTGCAGATGAGATCAGAGGATGTCCAGCCACCCCATGAGAGGACTATCGGGAGTGCCTTCTACAGGCCAAGGACTGATCTAGGCACTGGACATACAGTATGACTGAGACAGGGCCATATGGACATACATAGGTAAGTTGAGTGTATGTGTATGTGTGGACCTAGTTACAGCAAGATAAAAATGGGGCCGGAGCATAAGTGCCTGCCTGGCAAGTGTGAGGTCATGAGTTCGATCCCCAGCCACACGGATTTGGATTTCACAGTGCCAATATCCAGTAAGTTGGCCACCCTAAAAGCTGGCAAAGATGTAGAACAGGACGTTACTATTCATGGGAATGCAAAATGGTGCAGACACTTGAGAAGACAGCTGCTGCTTACAGAGCTAACCATATTCGTACTATCCTGCAGTGTCTCTTGGTATTTACTTGAATGAGTTGAAAACGTCCACACAAAAACCTGCTTTCAGATATATAGAGCACGTCTTCACAATTCTCAGGCCTCAGAAGCAACCAAGATGCAGATGAAGCAGATGAGTAGATACCAGGGGCAGCTGGACAGCCCCTATGCATCCCATCTCCTGCACCTGCCCACAATGGCCCCCACCTCAGCCTTTTTTTTTTTTTTTTTTTTTAAGCCCAGAGTCACCCTGGACACCAAGTTGTGATCAAAACAATGCATTGAAGGGGCTGGGGATTTAGCTCAGCGGCATAAGCACCTGAATTGCAAGCAAGGAGTCGTGAGTTTGATCCCTGGTACCGATAAAAAACGAAAAAGACAAAAAAAGACAATGCATTGAATGCCTGGAGTAGAAGCACATGCCTGAAATCTCAGCACTTAGGAGGCCTGAGGGCAGGAGAATCACTTGAGTTCAAGGCCAGCCTGAACTGCATAGTGAAACCCTGTCTCAAAAGAACAATAAATAAATAACCCATCAAATACAGTAAAAGACACATTGCCATTAATCCCCTGTGGTGGCATATACATATAATCGCAGCACTCCCAAAGCTGGGGCAAGAGAATTGCCATTAATTTGAGGCTAGTTTGGGCTACATAAATTCAAGGCCACCCTGATTATAGAACCTGAAGTTGGTTCATGAACAATATAGGGATCCAAGCAGCCACACTGATAAATTTGGAATTTTATTAGCTGAGCTCAGGACCACTCGCATATAGACTCCTGTTTCAGAGTCCCACCAAGTGGCCCCAAACTGGAAAGTAACAGAGCTTTCAAAACAGAAAATCACAAAAAGATGTCCTGTTGGAAACAATTTAACTTGAATCTTACATGATTATTTGGTTGGCACCTGTATCCTTCTTTGTTAATTTTTCTGTTGTGGGTGCAACTCATTTTGCTTTTCTAATGGGATTGTACTCTAGGTAATTTTTTATTCTCCTGGGTCAAATACAGGGCACTAGTTAAATGCAGGCTTGGTTATGCCAAGCTACAACAGACCCTGTCAACCAAAAAGGGAAAAAAGGAAACATTAATCCCCTCACTTGAACACATTGTTCTTGCTACTCTTCAGCAGCCTAGAAGCTTTCATGGTCATTTTGACTTGGAAGAGCCATTAGTTAAAACAGTACCAGATCTACTGAGTAAGATGGATGAAGACACACTTCGATGTTTTATGAGCCGGCCCTTAATACAGATGGCACGCAGTATATTTTTGGTCACTCTTCAAGAAGACCCTCACAAAAGAAGACTTTCAGAACTGCTTCAGAAAGTGACAAGAACAATGGGAAAAGTATTTGAAATGGGGAGTAATTTAGGGGATTAATGGCAATGGGTCTTACTGTAATTTTTATTTATTTATTTATTTTGTCTTTTTCCTTTTTATTGGTACCGGGGATTGAACTCACGACTGCCTGCTTGCAAGGCAGGTACTTATGCTGCTGAGCTAAATCCCCAACCCCTGTAATAAACTTTTTAAAATTTTAGCATTTAGGGTATATTGTGCTCATACCTTCTGAGTTCCTTGGGTTGACCTCAAACTGGAGATCCCTCTGCCTCATCCCAGCAGGGGTGGGACTGTGTTTGCACCACTGCCCCCCAGGCCACTTTCTCACTCCATCACTTGAGTACAGCAGCTGTGAGCCCACCACAGTTCAGGATTCAGCATGTTGAGTGAGGTGGTTCTCTTCATCCTGCAAAGGAGGACCAGAAAAGAAACATGAATCTGAGCATGCCTGGCCACCCTTTTGGGAAGGCCCGCTCTGGTTCTGGGGCTGATCTGTACAGGACACAGGGGAGATGAGAGCCAGGGAAAGTTGCTTTTGTTTTGTTTTGTTTATAAGACTAGGGATTGAATTTGAGGCCTTCCCATGAGATACATCTTCAGCCTTTTTTTTTTTAAATGTTTTTTTTTTTTTTTTGTCTTTTTCATTTTTATCAGTACCAAGGATTGAACTCACAACCGCCTGCTTGCAAGGCAGGTGCTTATGCCGCTGAGCTAAATCCACAGCCCCTTCAGCTCTTTTTTACTCACTAAATCATTCAGTTCCCCAGTTTATAATCTTGCTTCAACCTCCCTGAGTGCTAGAATTACAGGCATCACCATCATGCCTGGTTCATGGAAAGGTTTTGTTTTTTGGGGGGTGGGAGGAGAGTTGTTGGGTTTAATTTGGTGTTCTGAGACAGGGTCTCACTATGTTGTCCAGGCTGGCCTTGAACTCACTATGTAGCTGAGTGAGTTAGTGATCTTTTGGCCTCAGCCTCCCCAGTGCTGGGATTATGGGCAGCCAGCTCATGCAAGGTTCTTTACCAAGATGGAGAGCTCCTGATTCTGCCTGGCTCAAGGCTCTTAAGCTGAGCTAACATGAGGCTGTCCCCACCACCCTCTTACCTGGAGGGAAAGAAAGGGCAGCTTCTCACTGTCGCACTGAATGGACTTGCAGCATTTAGACAGTGAGCTGCTCTAGTGGAAGGGATGAGGAGGGGTCCAGGTACTCTAGTCAGCCCCTCACGTGTCCCACCCAGTCCCCACCCCAGGAGCATTGCACAGCCCATCCTCACTCACTTTG